TTCTCTCTCTATCTGCACTCTCTTTTATCAGAGAGATGTGATATATCATAACACGCTGCAAAATAATTATATCCGCTTGAAGTCTGCTGACCGCGATAGCGTGTGATCCATGATCATCATAATTACGTGATTAGGTCATATAAAAAATGGGATCATCGCGGTTTTCTGGGTAATGCACAAATCGTTGATGTCACCATACCGATTTGATCGGTGTATCAGAAGTAACCTTCTGCCGAAGATAAACTCGCGATGGAATCGAACGGGTAAAAACAAGATTAATTTAAGATATTGCGACACATGTGTGACGCAACGACTTTATCTGTCAAAATAGAAATTTGCAAAAATGAGATTCTTGGAATTATGATTTATCATTCAACCGACGGGCATCTCGTTATTTTTCCACGGTGTGTTGTGTCTCCAAGCATGATGACGATGTAAACATGTGTGCATAGTTACGTGCGGTATCATCGCAATTGCGACTACGTTAATAGGCCGTCATAAGTTGCTACGATGCATTGTTTGCGGTTGCTATTTCATTTGCGGTATTATAAGAAATGTGAGGATTGTTTAGCAATCGATGCGGTTGTTTCAATTAAAGTTATGATGAGTGAGAGAATCTTATTAAGTAGAATTGTTAAAAATTTTCTGACACAAATAACAGTCACATTTATAACAGGCATCGTTTAATTTTATAAGAGCCTGTAATTGCGATACACGTGCGCTTCATTCTTCATTGACAGTTTTTCGTCATACATTTTTATCTTTGTTTTATCCCCGTGACAAATATACCCACGATGCAAATGCAGAATCGCAGAAGTGTCTCAGAAAAACAGAAATCATGTACCGGAAATATAAATTCTAATCCCATCTCTCCGTAACAAATGCCGGCGCTAATTTCGCAATTACGTATTCATTATCTCGGCCTGTTTCTCTACAATAGCACAACCAGGAAGAGATCTTCATCTGCCAGTCGCGCGAACGGGGCGACCTTAATCCCCGAACGTCACGTCAAACATTCTCTTGCCGGGTGGGAATTAATTCCATAAAAGACAAACTCGTGTCGCCAGGAGGAATTCAATTTGTACGCGAGTTTTGCATAACGAGTACGCCGCGGTGGCCGCGTATATATAAGCCCGATAGTTTCTCATTAAACCACGATGACCCAGAATCGGACCCCGCAGCGCGATATCAGCGCGAGTACAATGGCATCGGGGATGACCACCCTCCTCGACTGCTCGACCGGTTCAATTGGATGTATGGCTTGCATACCGATAGTCTCGCGGGAATAATGCTGTGCGTAAGTTTGTATGCGCCTCCGCACACACACACACACACACACACACACACACACACACACACACACACACACACACACACACACACACACACACACACACACACACACACACACACACACACACACACACACACACACACACACACACACACACACACACACACACACACACACACACACACACACACACACACACACACACACACACACACACACACACACACACACACACACACACACACACACACACACACACACACACACACACACACACAAGAAATAATAAAGCTTTAATACATGAGAAGAACTCGATATAACAGAGTATAGTGCTAACGAAGAGTTATACGATGCTCAATAAACGTAATGTAGCAATAAGCAAGTTTACTAATTGGTGTTGGCTATATGTAAATACCACATATCCGCTTGACGTAATGATATGGCGACATCAATTATAGCGGTAATAACAGTAATCGCGGTAGTAGTTCGGTCTCGTGAAAAAGCGTTGCGTTATCAAATAACCTTCATCTAACTGAGCATTATGTTTATTAATAAAATCTATTTTTACTTTCGTGACTGAATTTACGTGCCCTCGCTTTCCATGCCCCAGATCTTAGCACAAATTATTATTATTATCTATGTAACTGCGTGTCGTATTACGATATTGTAAATCATTATCATTATTGTTAAAAGATTGCTTTATTTAATATTTTGTCTGTTAAAACACGCGATTTTTTCCGTCATTTTTCGTCTCGGGTTTCTATTACGTAAACGAGGAATTTCCCGAAGAGGTCGACATCGGTGCTTTTAATCGACGCTAACATGTTAACGATGTCAAGCTACAATCGCACGCGCAATTGAACTGGGCTCGTTAATTTACGCTGCAAAATTTGATCATATGTCACATCTTAATGACGTAGATGGAAATTTCAATCTTGAAATATATTAATATTACGTTGAAATATGATAAAATGTTTGCGTGAGCGAATAATCGTATTATTCGAGCATTTAAAAAAATTTTTCGATATTTTTGGAGTAATCCAAAAATAATATTCGAATTTAGAATATCGAATATTAAATACCAAGAAGTTATCAATATTTCAAAATTTTTTGTTATTTTTATTAAAAATTAAAAAAAAAATTATTTTATGGTTGGACTTACTTGTTATTTATAATAAATATTCCTGTTGAGGAATTAAAAATATTTTTTGTTCTAGCTTCTCTCTCTATCTGCACTCTCTTTTATCAGAGAGATGTGATATATCATAACACGCTGCAAAATAATTATATCCGCTTGAAGTCTGCTGACCGCGATAGCGTGTGATCCATGATCATCATAATTACGTGATTAGGTCATATAAAAAATGGGATCATCGCGGTTTTCTGGGTAATGCACAAATCGTTGATGTCACCATACCGATTTGATCGGTGTATCAGAAGTAACCTTCTGCCGAAGATAAACTCGCGATGGAATCGAACGGGTAAAAACAAGATTAATTTAAGATATTGCGACACATGTGTGACGCAACGACTTTATCTGTCAAAATAGAAATTTGCAAAAATGAGATTCTTGGAATTATGATTTATCATTCAACCGACGGGCATCTCGTTATTTTTCCACGGTGTGTTGTGTCTCCAAGCATGATGACGATGTAAACATGTGTGCATAGTTACGTGCGGTATCATCGCAATTGCGACTACGTTAATAGGCCGTCATAAGTTGCTACGATGCATTGTTTGCGGTTGCTATTTCATTTGCGGTATTATAAGAAATGTGAGGATTGTTTAGCAATCGATGCGGTTGTTTCAATTAAAGTTATGATGAGTGAGAGAATCTTATTAAGTAGAATTGTTAAAAATTTTCTGACACAAATAACAGTCACATTTATAACAGGCATCGTTTAATTTTATAAGAGCCTGTAATTGCGATACACGTGCGCTTCATTCTTCATTGACAGTTTTTCGTCATACATTTTTATCTTTGTTTTATCCCCGTGACAAATATACCCACGATGCAAATGCAGAATCGCAGAAGTGTCTCAGAAAAACAGAAATCATGTACCGGAAATATAAATTCTAATCCCATCTCTCCGTAACAAATGCCGGCGCTAATTTCGCAATTACGTATTCATTATCTCGGCCTGTTTCTCTACAATAGCACAACCAGGAAGAGATCTTCATCTGCCAGTCGCGCGAACGGGGCGACCTTAATCCCCGAACGTCACGTCAAACATTCTCTTGCCGGGTGGGAATTAATTCCATAAAAGACAAACTCGTGTCGCCAGGAGGAATTCAATTTGTACGCGAGTTTTGCATAACGAGTACGCCGCGGTGGCCGCGTATATATAAGCCCGATAGTTTCTCATTAAACCACGATGACCCAGAATCGGACCCCGCAGCGCGATATCAGCGCGAGTACAATGGCATCGGGGATGACCACCCTCCTCGACTGCTCGACCGGTTCAATTGGATGTATGGCTTGCAGTCTCGCGGTCTCGCGGGAATAATGCTGTGCGTAAGTTTGTATGCGCCTCCGCACACACACACACACACACACACACACACACACACACACACACACATACACACACACACACACATACACATATATATGTTTTCTTTAGTAACGTAAATATCGCTGTCATGACGTAGAGTTGATGCATAATCTATCAAAAGGGCAAAAATTCGATACACCTAGAGCTTTAAGATTCGTTCGTCTTTTTTCGAAAAGATCGTAAGTGACTTTAAGAGCTTTTTCGACTAATGGCTTAGAATAAAATATCCAATTTGCATTCGTCGATGCGTATTAATTTTGCATTTGAAAGCTATGGAAATTCGTAAAATTGCAAAATAAATATATTTTGCGGAAGATATTGTGCGAGTACGCTTTGGAAAAATCGCTATAACAAAGCGTCGAAAGCAGTTTCTTTTACGAAAACGCAAATTTGTAGCCGAAAATATTTTAGATACAATTCTCGCGCATTATTGACGGCCGAAATCGATGCAGAAATCGTATGTGACATTGAATGCATGCACAATGCACGTGGACGTGCTCGCGTACATGCACGTCTGTATTGGCGCTCTGCGAGAACTCGACGATGCCTCAACCCCTGACCTACATGGACGACGAAATCTCAAATGGTGGTTGATATACCCCGGAGAATTTCAAGTCTGAGCTCTCTCAGTGCACTTATGTGACGTCTACGCTTGCACGGGATTTGCTCCACGAAAAGATATATCGGCGCTTCTCCTCGCATTTCGCATACGAGCAAGATAAAAACTTTATTGGCCTTTCGAGGAAAATGTCGCCGGTCTAGATCTCGCCGTGTGCACAACAAACAGCTCAACATTTCACACGACGCCGTGTCGAAAGAAATTTTTTTTTTCGTGGGACATAGAACGAGATCACGTAAGAGCGTAAATTGCCTTTTGTGATAATAATTGCGTAAATTCAATTCAATTAAAATGCCACTATTAATCAATAAATAATTTTTAATAATGCAAGCCAGAAATATTAAAATAACTTCTGTTCTCTGATAGTAAAAAAAAAATAAATGTGCATCGCATTATTAGGAAGAAATATGTCATTCTTTTCTCTTTAAAATTAAATTATTGTAAGTTATATAATAGCAAATTTAAAATTAGATTACAACAGCTTCTAGACTGTATCACGTGTAACTTAATTTGATTAACAATAGGTACTCACCGTGACTTGCTGATTAGTCGGACTAGGGCTAGGGCTAGGAGTCGAATTTGGCGTGGAGAGTTCTCCTGATGCTGGAGAGGGCGAATTTGTGGAGACACTGCCGACAGTCGGAAATGCCCTCGCTGGATCGGCTTGCCATTGTTTATGAATTTGCTGCGAGGTGTCTCGAAACCGCGCGCCCTAAAACAAAAAGCGCATAATTTCTTATTAGAAATAAAGCCTAAATAGTGTTATCATAAAATATAATTAGGAGCGCCAGTCACTTTATTCTCAGATTAAAGCAATAAAAACGTCATTTTTGTCATATTAAATAATAATATTTGAAACACGTGCACATATATATACATGTTCCTTTTTAAATAATAATTTCAAGTATTAAAAAAATAATTAAATGGCTTTTTTTTAGTTGAAATATACTCGTTGCGCTGTTTCATTCTATCAAAATACAAATATAACGTTTTCTAAACGCACGTGTCATTGTACGAAAATTAATACGTGTGCATTGTCGCGAGTGTGCTACTGAACACTTGTATCCTTGAAGAAGTAGATCGTACAGATCGTTTACGTCCGCAAATATGTCACATCAACCGATGACATAGTTCGATTAGTCTCGGATATTTGTTTCTAGACAATTGGGATCGATCGCTTCGCTCCGCTGATCCGACAAGTCTAATTAGAATTAGAGCGAGCCAACCCACGCGATTGCTGTAAATAAGGGCGTATTTCTTGTTAAATTTTGATTTAACTTAAAATTACGTTAGTCATTATCTCATCTACTTTCATATCATCCCACGAGTGTAATAATATCACTTGATATCAGGTTATTTGCAAGTAACCTGACTATGTATGGAAGCTTGAAATCGAAGTTGAATTAAATGCATCAAATAAAAATCTATGGTTGATTGAATAATAACTGAAAAGATAATAATTAATGTTTTCCTTTTTTATGTCATACAACCATTAGTCTATTCTATTTTCATATATATCGTGTTATTATTTAACTTGTGAGAGAATATATGTGTCAACCATTTATCATGACATGTATCCGCCGCAATTAATAATTCTATAGTGTTCGTTAAGATGATACCAACTAACGGCTGGTGTAGGAGTTCGTAGACCCCACATAGCCAAACTATAAAAGATTGCATGCTCATATGCAATCCCCCGAGAACGGCATCGCTCGGTGCGATAATTGCGCTTATGCAACGCCTCGCTGTAATAGCAATTAGCATCGTTGGCTTATAATAGAGGCCGTATAAGCAGAATCTCTCGAGCGAGCGTGTTTCAAACCGTGGACCGTGTCTGCCGATCGCTCATCGCTCCTTGAAGCTACCTTTTCGAGACTCAAAAACAGCGAAGCTCGTTCGAGCGCGAATTACGGGGGGGAGTCAATCTAAATTTTTTCACCCGTGTCAAATCGGCGGCGTTCAATTGCCACGGCCTCGGAATTAATTTCGCGAGGAATGAGGCTAATTTACATCCGCCACGGCGTTCCCTTCGCAATCGCGGCCACATTGTATATAATAATATCTCACGTCACGCCGTGTAATCTCCCGCAAGATTGCACGCCGCGATTAAAGGACGCATTTTTCGGGAGCCTTTCTTGCCGCGCGAGCGCATCGCGCGGTATTAAATCTGCGGCCGCGTGCACGTGTCAGTCAAAGTGACACTCGCCGAATGGATTGGTAAAACAGTTGGTGTTTGTACAGCCGCGTATATGGAGGCTTGGAAATTCTCTCTTTGCATTTTAGAAACGCTCAATTTTTCGGCGTAATATTGTCGATTATAGTCGATTAAATATTAAAAAAATTATTGAATGTCATTAATATTATATATGTCATAATTAATATCATAATAATATAGATATATCTATAAATAAAATTGATACACATGCAAATAATTTGCACATTTATAATTTCTAATATCAGTCTCTCAAGAATTTAATGTGCCACAGAAGAAAGTAAAAATTAAATATGGATTTAATTTATCATATATAATATTATGTTAATAACCAATAATATCTTTTATGTGTATAAAAAATATGTGTGTAAAGTGTTTGTAATATATATAACTATCTCTACATAAAATTTATATACGTAATATAATCAAATCGATGAGAAAATTTGTTATATGTCACCCGGTATGCCTTCCAGACAAAATCTCGATATAGGTAAGGTGTGAGAGATCGAATGATGCGTTCGTGTGTGTGTATGTGTGTTTGCCATGCCGATCGTATGAGTTCACATAAACGTTCCGCGATCGAAACTAACGGGCCGCAGTAATTTAGCCTCCGTCTTTCATGACGCTGCGTTCGAGAGTGATCCAACACGATCGAGATCGTCAGATATGTCCGTGGCATTCACGTGGCGATCTAACGCGGAGGTCGACTACTGGATACGGTGCAGCGGAACGCGTACGAGCCGCGATCGTGTTTATCGTAAACAAAGGCGCGGTTTAAACAACGTTTTAATTAAATCACGATTTACAGCGGATAAAACGTAATGTTGCGAAACAAAACTCTTTTAACGCTGTTATTTGTAATGAAGCGTATAGTTCGTATGTTTGTACTGTTTGTACTGACGAACGAAATGGAGCTCTTGTTTATATTATATAATAGAATCAATTAGATTTATACTTTATATTAATAAAAATTCTTCAATTTGCACCTGTAATTTAGTATTTATAAAACCAATTAGTTATAGTTGTATTTTAAAGATGTTTTGTTGCCTTTTTATGATAAAAAAAAGATCAGCTCCGAAGAAAATAACTTTCAAGATAAAACCAATTAGTTATAGTCTTATTTTAAAGATGTTTTGTTGCCTTTTTATGATAAAAAAGATCAGCTCCGAAGAAAATAACTTTCAAAGCATTATTGAATCTATATATGAGCTATTCACAATATTCCATGGAATCTAAAATAAAGTAGTATATTATATAATTTATAAATGCATAATTTGAAGTAAATAAATTTACTGAAAAATTTTTAAATGTAATAAATTTATTATTTTTTTTGTATAAATGTATCACAAATTTAATTATTATCGAAGCATGACTATTTTTCGAAATTTAATTTACAGCATCATTCTTACAATAATAACATTTATAACAACAATCATTTGTGCATCACTGTCGTTAGGAAAAGATCTCCCGTTATCAGCATAGATCGTTCTTTTTTCTTTCTACTCTGTTGAAGTGCGGTCTATCCGATCATTCGATAAGATCGACCGTTATCTATCGTGTAATCCCAGCGCGAACACGTTGCGGTCGACTCGAGCACGCGGCGGAAATTGATTGCATCGCAGTAATGCAGCGGGTACGCGACGTAATTTCGCTTTTTATTTCTTCTTATTACCCGCGTAAGGGTTCGCTGCGAGTCACGATGTCATCTTATTTGCGTGCGCGATGTTATTCTCCCCCGCGGATTCAACGCTTCGCGAAATTTTTCCAGGGTTCATCGGAGCGTGTGCGAGTTTCGCGCGACACACATATCGAGAACGGCGTAACGTTAGTCCGACAACTGTGATAGACGAGTTTCTGTTTGAGGTTTTGCGGCTGCACATCGGGAGTTCTGGAAATATCTCTATAATTTGAAATGAAATTTTGCGATGTCAGAGACAGGATGAATCTTATTGTCATATTTCATGTCTTATGATTCGCGCTTCTCGAGTTACGCGTCGAATAAAATGCTGCCGTTTTAAAAATTTGTCTATGGCTCAATTAATGTCTCATCATTGATAATTTGGAATGACATTTTAATGGAATATGATTTTGATTTAAATGTTTTTAATAAGAATTATTCATTATAAAAAAAAATGATCAAAAAATATTCAAATAAGAATGTAAGATGTGTGTGTGTGTGTGTGTGTGTGTAAAAACATTTATTATATCCAGAAGAGAAGCTAGCATCATTCTTTTTCAAGAGCCACGTCATGATGCGTTATTCCCGCGTCATTAAAATTAAACGCGCTTGACGTGCCGGCGAGTTGTTGGCATGCCAATCGACTCGTGTCTTCGAGCGGTGATGCCGAGGCGCGCGATGACTAATCGCGCGATCGTAAAAATCGAGGGGCGCGTTAAAGAGGAAGCGAGGAAAACGGCCGCAGTCCGAATTCAAGTCCCTTCGGGTTTGATATGCCGCGGCGTATCTCGTATCGAGCGATCTTACCGCGTACCTCGTCGAAGAGGTCGTCCAGTTCTTTCTGAGATATCTTGGCCTTCATCCCGCGGGCATTCTTCGCGGTCGAACTTCCCCGACGTCTCTTTATCTTGCGGAAGAGACTGAACAAGACGAAGAGTCGTGGAGAAGGGCGAGGTAGGTGAGGAGAGGAACCCCGTTTCCCCTTCGCTTCTTCAAATGTCACGAGCCGAGTCTGTTCCTTCTCCTTTCTGCGGTTGCTCTCGAAACACGTCGCTCTTTCTTAGACGCATAAATAGTCGATGACGCGCGGCAAAGTGCGAGAGAAGGTCGTGCGATAATAAACGCGGCCGGTTTTGCACTCTTCGTCGTCGGAAACTCTGTTGCCGCAGCCGGTCACGTCGGTCCATCGTTCATCATCGCCGCTCAACCTCCACCCGATTCTTCCGCTTTGAAGCACATGTCCGCAACAACTCATACGAAACCACACTAACACACAATACGTCGCTTCCGATTTCAATTTTTATCGGTATTCTATTCTTCGTCAAAAATTAGTAATTTTCACTGCGATTAAAGAATTATATGAATAAATTATTATTATATGAATAATATATATTAATATTATTTTATTAAATATATCTTATTGTTA